ATATATATATATATATATATATATATATATATATATATATATTTGATCATATATATATATATATATATATATATATATATATATATATATATATATATATTATATATATATATATATATATATATATATATATATATATATATATATATATATATATATATATATATATGTATGGATGTGTGTATATGTAGTTTAATGTATGTTACGTTCATGTCAGACGACCTAAAAGTGCTCAATATTAGCACAATCAAACAATGAGTTAAATTTCGATGCCTATTACGATAATGGACGTTCAAACAGAAATGTTTTTCGCGCATTTCGTGATTTGGGGGGTGGTAACATAATCGCTCAGCCTAGAGTGCAGTTGGAAACCATTTAACGTTCTTGTGGAGAGGTTCGATTCCTGCGCGCGATGACGAATAATGGTGTCTGGATTTTCGGCCACATTCTCGTGCACTGCACTAATGTTTTCAGCTAAACGACGTAAACCAGCACGCAATGGTGTTTTCACATATACCACCGACCCAGTTTGTTTCAATTTACGAACAATTTTTCCAATTGCAAACGTTATTTGATTGTTAATCTTTCCATGATTGAAAGTGCCAAAGACTTAATTTGTTAAATCTGAAAGAAAAAGAAAAAAAAGGTGATTAGACGCTTCAACTTAATTCACATTTAAAATCGGTTTAACTTATTGGAACACCCTTTATATTTGCGTCATGGTTTGATCATCATGTTACAGTTCAAATGGCTAAATGTAACCGGAAGTTGTATACTAACAGTTTCTTCCCTTGCACTTCTCGCTTGTGGAACTCTCTTCTGGCTTTTTACTTCCCAGTCAACTTTAACCTTCAAATAATTAAATATAATGTCAATCGTTATCTTCCGTCTTCTTAATAGCTGATATTTTGTTGAACTTGCTCCTTAATAATGTTTTCTTTGTCGCATATTTTTTTATACTCAGTAACCTCCCTCTTGGAACTTTAACACGTTGTTTGATTGTTAATCTATCCATGCTTGAAATTGCGAAAGATTTAAGTTGTTAAATCTGAAAGTAAAAGAAAAAAATCATTAGACGCTTAAACTTAATTCACATTTAAAATCGGTTCAATTTATTGGAACACCCTATATATATCTACATTGAAATAACAACCCTGAAATAACAACAACAATAATAATAATAATAATAATAATAAAGGAAGTGCTGTAATGTAGTTAATTAATTGTTATGGGACCTTACCCATAATAACATAATGGGCTATTCCATACGTAATAAATACTGCGCCTCAAGAGGAAGCAGGGAGTTCAGTCTGAAGTCGGACGACCGGCTGACAGGCTGATTGGTTGAACTCTGACTTCGGGCGGGGAGGAGCCCGAATGAGGCTACGCCAAAGGGTGGAGTCTCTTTCGGGGAGGTAAATCGACCCTGAACCCATTTATACGCGTTCAAAGGGCATATTTTTGGCCAAGCCCACTGGCTCGGAGATCACACTGGCTCGGAGATCCCACTGGCTCGGAGATCCCACTGGCTCGGAGATCCCACGTTAAACCGGCCTTGTGCCACAAGATGCCCTCTTGGTGGGGTGACTAAATACTGTTCAGTCTGAAGTTGGGCGACCGGCTGACAGGCTGATCGATTGAACTCTCTGCTTTCGGGCGGAGAGGAACCCGAACGAGGCTACGCCGAAGGGCCGGGTCTCATTCAGGGAGGTAAACCGACCCTGAACCCGTTTATACAGGTTCAAATGGCATATTTTTGGCCGAGCCCACGGGCTCGGAGATCCCACGTTAAACCGTCCTTGTGCCATATGATGCCCTCGTGGGGTGTGATTAAATACTGTTCAGCCTGAAGTCTGGAGTGAGGTCCGTCAGAAGTTTGTCAGTCAGTCAGAGCGAGCGAGTCAGTCAATCGAGTCAGAGGCAGTCCGAACAGAGTCGCGTTCAGACAATTACTACTAAACCTGATTGTTCGTACTAACACTTCTACTTTTCTGTATATATTCCTGTTTGTAATATATCTGTGTTATTCTATATACGTGTTCGAGTTCTTCTTTATTGGTTCTACCTTGGACTATCACCGTGGTACAAGGAACCGTACCATTAATAATAATAATTTTTACACCGGTGTAGTCTTTAATTATTCTTTGTAATCTTTTTACTTGAGAGAATATCATGAAAGAATATTTGCTAAAACCTATTTGCCAATCTAAAGAAAATTCGAATAACAGGTGGAGATTGGCCATTCCCTCAAAATCAGATTCGAAGAACAGAAAATGGTACAATCAAAATAAATAAATCAATCAAAATAAAATTAAATAGAAGGACATGATGTTGCAAATCATATCCTGATATATATATATATATATATATATATATATATATACAAATGCATGTTTCATTGAACAATATAGACAGGTTTTGTCAATTTTAAGTAAGTTCCTTTCATATTGTCTGATGAGCTTAATAACATTATCATTGAAAGACGAAAGGAAATCACCATATTGATACATGTTTAAATCCAATCTAAGCTTTCGGCTTACATAAGCCATTATCAAAGATGAAAATTACTTTTAAATATATCAACCAATACACAGACGAAACAATAATGATAGTTTGTTTTTGTTGCATGAACAATTTTCTATATTATTTTAATGAAAAATTGCTGCCTATATATATATATATATATATATATATATATATATATATTATTTATTTATTATAAATTTATCATATACAAAACCGTTTTATTCACTACAAAAATGTAACTTGGTTTCAGTGCATTTCAACTGCACTTCGACGGGTGGGAATTTCACCCCAAACAAGGTATTAAAGCTACTAAGATACAATGAGTTACTTGGTGTGGAAGAATTAGAAAACAAGAACTTTATTACAGAGAAATAGCCAAAAGAAGAGTAATCAAGTGTAGAGTAGGAAGCGGTTGACATTGCATTTACTTTTTTGAAGATTAAAGTTAGCTTGAAACTATGGAAGTTGGAAGACTCAATCACAGTCAAGTAGTACGCGAAAAGGAACAGTTAACTTAGAACCTATAGTTATATCTAGCCAACTCAGTTACTGGTGAGACCTCGCCGCCAGTCTCGTACTGCGCTTAAATTCATATAGTGTAGTTACCCTTGTGAAGAGCGATATTTATTCTGCATTATGTACAGAAATGTGCCACAAAGCCAAAATGGGGAATGAGAAAAGGATGCCTCTTTTTCTGTCTTAACTTAGCTAGCCACAGTCACCGCCCCAAACAAACCAGAAAATGTCTTACACCAGAGCAACATCTTTTTTTTTTTTTTACTACAGTCACCATAATACCTTAATGTCTCTATGGAGTCCTAACTAGTCCCCATATGTACAATTCTTGTTTGCGAGGGTGAGGAATACAACAACAATTTAAATATCTAATCCGCTATGTTTAGTTATAAATATGAAACTCTTATATAAGAATAGTGTCGCTGCCGACACTTGAATTTGAACAGTGAGCTAACACGGGCGATCCCATTTCTAATAGGTAGATCGCGTGACCATATAGAGCAGTTGCATAGGTAGGAATTAGTGTGGCGTCAGGTTGATCAAACTTTCTATCCTATCCTCTATTATTATTCTGATCTCTATTTCTAACCTTTTCTATTCTTTAACTATTTCTCTATACTGATCCCTATACGGATCCCTACACAGATTACCATTCGGTGGTTACTATTCGAGCGAGTATTATCCAGCAAGTCCTTATTAGTGCGAGTGTTATTCGAAGGCGTTTGACACCAGTATTGTTCAACGGTGTTACTATAGTTGTATCTGCGAGTACAAAGTCTCTTATACAACGAGCATTATAAAAGTGACAACGAGTATTCGTTGACATTATAAAGTTGTCGACAAGTGTTCGTTGACATCACAAAAGAAAGAAAACTCTATGCAAGAAAATAAATAAAATAGTGTTAGTGATATAATCCATACACAATCTTTAAATATGGGAGAAACATCTGTTAACTGGACGTAATAAATGCGAGGTTTTACCCTAGCGAAGAGCTCATTCGATGATTTATAAAACGTACAGGGAGGTAACATTACGATGGTTGGAAATTCATCGGACTAATAATATTGCCGATTCTTTTTTGGAGTTTATCAAGGATCACTAAATATATGGTAGGAGCAACGGATCATATGGACGAATGGTAGAATTTAACAGTATGTTTGTTAAGAAACCCCATATTTTATGTATAATGGACTCTCCCGTCAAACTACAAGACAGGAGACTCCATTGTACATAAAATAAGCGTTTACGTTTCAGACACCCTTTATATATGTAAAATAGTTTCAAGAGAGAAAAAATGTCTTTTTTTTTTCCTTTTCTCTGTGTGACAAATCCTTCTTTCTATTCCTGATTATTCATATACTGTGGTCCTTCAAGATGTGGTCAATCAAGTCACCACCTCCCACAAAAATTCCGTTCATTAAAAATCCATTTTTTATCAATTTACTGCCGATTGTTACCAATGATTTGCCCTCGGCTCATGCAAAAAAATTAAGAAAATTACTCGTGGTGTCGCTCTACACCTCATTCTTTCAATAGGAGTTTTGAGTATTTAATTTTCCAAACCGTCTTTCTTCATAACGTGTTCAAGAAATTTTAAACTGTTTCCTGTTTTAACATTCTCTCAATCTTACACTTTTCATTCTACTATATCCTATATACCCCCCTTGTTATTACAGTTCTATTTCTTCTTCATCTCGTCTTTATTTTTCGGCAATAATTTCTTTCTTTCTTTCTTTCTTTCTTTCTTTCTTCTAACATTCCTTCGTATATTCTCTCACACTCTCTTTTATTTTTTCTCTGCCCACATCTTTTGACATTCTCCTATTTCTCCTCCGTTTTCATTATTCTTTCTTTCTTTCTTTCTTTCTTTCTTTCTTTCTTATAAAATCCTCCCCCGTATATTCTTCTACACTCTCTTCTTTTAATTCTTCTCTGCTCGTATCTTTATTATCTTTAGACATTACCCCATTTCTCCAACGTTTTCATTCCTTCTTTCTTTCTGCCTTTCTTTCTTTCTTTCTTTCTTTCTTTCTGCCTTTCTTTCTTTCTTTCTCTCTTTCTTTCTTTCTTTCTTTCTTTTAACGTTACTCTCTATATATTCTCTTTTATATTCTTTGCTTTTTTTTTCTTCTCTATTTCACGCGAACTTTATCTTTCTCCAATATTTATTTTTTCTTTATCTCTTTCATTTATACTTTCTTTCTGTCTTTCTTTCTTTCTTTCTTTCTTTCTGCCTTTCTTTCTTTCTTTCTTTCTTTCTTTCTTTCTTTCTTTCTTTTAACGTTACTCTCTATATATTCTCTTTTATATTCTTTTGCTTTTTTTTTTTCTCTATTTCACGCGAACTTTATCTTTCTCCAATATTTATTTTTTCTTTTATCTCTTTCATTTATACTTTCTTTCTTTCTTTTTCTTTCTTTCTTTCTTTTCTTTCTGCCTTTCTTTCTTTCTTTCTTTCTTTCTTTCTTTCTTTCTTTCTTTTAACGTTACTCTATATATTCCTTTTTATATTTTTGTTTTTTTTTTTCTTCTCTATTTCACGCGAACTTTATCTTTCTCCAATATTTATTTTTTCTTTATCTCTTTCATTTATACTTTCTTTCTGTCTTTCTTTCTTTCTTTCTTTCTGCCTTTCTTTCTTTCTTTCTTTCTTTCTTTCTTTCTTTCTTTTAACGTTACTCTCTATATATTCTCTTTTATATTCTTTGCTTTTTTTTTCTTCTCTATTTCACGCGAACTTTATCTTTCTCCAATATTTATTTTTTCTTTATCTCTTTCATTTATACTTTCTTTCTTTCTTTCTTTCTTTCTTTCTTTCTTTTTCTGCCTTTCTTTCTTTCTTTCTTTTCTTTCTTTCTTTCTTTCTTTTTTTAACGTTACTCTCTATATATTCCCTTTTATATTCTTTTTTTTTTTTTTTTCTCTATTTCACGCGAACTTTATCTTTCTCCAATATTTATTTTTCTTTATCTCTTTCATTTATACTTTCTTTCTTTCTTTCTTTTTCTTTCTTTCTTTCTTTCTTTCTTTCTGCCTTTCTTTCTTTCTTTCTTTCTTTCTTTCTTTTAACGTTACTCTCTATATATTCCTTTTATATTCTTTGCTTTTTTTTTTCTCTATTTCACGCGAACTTTATCTTTCTCCAATATTTATTTTTCTTTATCTCTTTCATTTATACTTTCTTTCTTTCTTTCTTTCTTTCTTTCTTTCTTTCTTTCTGCCTTTCTTTCTTTCTTTCTTTCTTTCTTTCTTTCTTTTAACGTTACTCTCTATATATTCCCTTTTATATTCTTTTTTTTTTTTTTTCTTCTCTATTTCACGCGAACTTTATCTTTCTCCAATATTTATTTTTCTTTTATCTCTTTCATTTATACTTTCTTTCTTTCTTTCTTTCTTTTCTTTCTTTCTTTTTTTTCTTTCTGCCTTTCTTTCTTTCTTTCTTTCTTTCTTTTTTTAACGTTACTCTCTATATATTCCTTTTATATTCTTTGCTTTTTTTTTCTTCTCTATTTCACGCGAACTTTATCTTTCTCCAATATTTATTTTTTCTTTATCTCTTTCATTTATACTTTCTTTCTTTCTTTCTTTCTTTCTTTCTTTCTTTCTTTCTGCCTTTCTTTCTTTCTTTCTTTCTTTCTTTCTTTTAACGTTACTCTCTATATATTCCCTTTTATATTCTTTGCTTTTTTTTTCTTCTCTATTTCACGCGAACTTTATCTTTCTCCAATATTTATTTTTTCTTTATCTCTTTCATTTATACTTTCTTTCTTTCTTTCTTTCTTTCTTTCTTTCTTTCTTTCTGCCTTTCTTTCTTTCTTTCTTTCTTTCTTTCTTTCTTTCTTTTAACGTTACTCTCTATATATTCCCTTTTATATTCTTTGCTTTTTTTTTCTTCTCTATTTCACGCGAACTTTATCTTTCTCCAATATTTATTTTTTCTTTATCTCTTTCATTTATACTTTCTTTCTTTCTTTCTTTCTTTCTTTCTTTCTTTCTGCCTTTCTTTCTTTCTTTCTTTCTTTCTTTTTCCTCATTGCTATCCGTATATCCGCTTTATTCTCTCTCACTCTCTTTGATTTTTCTCTTTCTATCTCTAGTACTGCCTTTCTTTTTCTTTCTTTCTTTCTTTCTTTCTTTCTTTCTTTCTTTCTTTCTTTCTTTCTTTTGTTTTCTTCGTTTTTCCTTCTGCATTGAGCCATTTATTACGAACCGCAACCCCTCCTTTACTCTCGATCACTCTCTTTCATTTTCTCTCTCTTTCTATCTACAGAATTTTCTTTCTTTCTTTCTTTCTTTCTTTCTTTTGTTTTCTTCGTTTTTTTCCTTTGCATTTAGCCGTTTATTACGAACTGCATCCCCTCCTTTATTCTCGATCAATCTCTTTCTTTCTTTCTTTCTTTCTTTCTTTCTTTCTTTCTTTCTTTCTTTCTTTCTTTCGTTTTCTTCGTTTTTCCCTTTGCATTTAGACGATTTTTTTTATTTTCATTGACAATCTTTTATTTTTAATTTTTCTTCTTTTTCTTCTCACCTCATATCGGTGACCTGTCAATAATTTTTTTCTTTTTCTTGTTTTTTTTTAGTATGATTTCCTGTTTCCTTCCTCTTTTCCACCTTTTCCTCCCTTAACTTTTATTTTTCACTAATTTTTCTTTTTTTTTTTTAATTTCACGCCTCCACGCAATATTTTTTAAGCTTTTATTTGCTTGGCCATTATTATTATTATTATTATTATTTAGAGAAAAAAAATAATTTTGTTATGTTTTCCCGCCCATGTCACTCTTTCCTATCTGAGCCATTTTTCACCACGTTTCGATTTCTTTGTAACTCTTCTTCAGTTGCTCTTACCGCTCACGAACGACCGCTTCTGTTCTGCTCATACATTCTTACACATACAGACAGAAGAACTAATGAAATCTTCCTATCATACACATTACCTCTGAGGCAGGCACAAAAATGAACTCACCACTGAAAGCATCGACGCATATTTCCGAATCTCACATCCGATCAGAGTAATACAGAAGATTAGTGAAAAAAAAGAAAACACAGACATACACAGACACACACACACACACGTATGTATGCGCATTGAGAAGGTTAAAAGAAAACTCAACAACTATCGACAATTATCCGAGGAATTATATCAAACCTATAATATTTTGTTGTCGAGCTTTATGGAGTTTTCGGATCTTTGTGGGCAAAGAGGACCCTCGCTGTGTCTCCTGAAATCTAAGCTTATTTCAAACGTGACCTTGACACGTATGCTTTCATTACAAACAATAATAATTCAATATTTACACACATATGAAGTCGTGGTAAGACGTGATATTTTAAAGATAATTAAAATTGACACTTGACTAAATACAAAATCTACATATAGTCAAAACCTTAACAAGAAAAATTATTTGTGAATGTCTTACAACTGCGGGAAGTACGCAGTTATCAAGCAATTTGTATTTAATTTTTTATTGGAAACCAGGAAAATTATCATATATCTAGAAAAATCTAAAGGAAGACGTTTTAAATGTACCCTCTTGTGCAAATTAATTGAAACCTCTTTAGTTTGCTTTCTTTCACCATACAGTCGGTTTTAGAATCACTGGGGTGACAGGTTGTAATCGATTTCTATTTTTTCCTCAGATTAAGTCATTTGCAGAGGTATACATTAATATGAATCTATTTTCGAGGTATATGATGAAATTTGTTTGACATTGGTAAATATTGCGTCATCCGTGATTGCGTCAGATTTTGATCACGCCTAGACACTATGTTGCCGATTAGTTGTCCTACGGCCATTGTTTGCGATGGACATTACTTCAAAGAAGCGTACGAAAATTGTAACACTGCATGAAAACAGTGGCAAGCCTTACTAGTAAACAAATCAAAGTGCTATAGACTGGCTCGGAAACTCTCCTGATTTAAATCCAATCGAGGAACTGCAAGGAACGACTTCGTGGAATGCGAAAAAGTAAATGATAACAGAATTATTCGTTTTGTTTTAATTAATTTGAACAAGCATGTAATACTGTCTATATTTCTAGGGTGAGGTATTGTGACTATTTACAGTGTTTGGACTGTAGTTGTTATATTCGCTGTCAAATTCACTACGCTTCGGTCATTATACGCTCCGGACTTCTTCAGGTGTTATTTTTAAGAATTTCGAACCGAATCCTTTAATTAGTCCAAGGTGGATAAATACAAAGCTATATAAAAAACAAAACAAAGACAACTGAAGTGAAAAATTAAAATGCAAAATCTCCCCAAAGGCACGTCGCCCAGCGGATAAAAGCGTAGGTTGATTGATCCGAAAAGTGACTTGACCCAATGAGCTGGGTTCAGTGGAGAGGACAAAAAGAGTAATCCAGAGCGGATTAACCAAAACTGAGAGGTCCAATGGCGTGGTGCGTGGTATTGGGGAGGCACGATGGAGTAATGGATAGCGGCTTGGATTGAGGAATCGGAGAGCCGAGTTCGAATTCCAGTCGAATCCATTACATTCACTTACGTGCTAACACCCTTGGGAAAGGTGTGAATCCTCTTTCTTCTCCCTCCAGCTATGGGTGAATAGCAGGACAGACTGGGTTCTATAGCCTTGGATGGCAACTGGTCTAGGAGAATGAAAACTCTGAATTCAAACCTGCTCTTAGAGGAGGGTGAATGGAGTCTCTCTGAGCCTTGGTTGGCAATCCATTTCGTGATGGTGTCACGATAAAAACACCCTTGATAGCCCTAGCGAAGCATCAAGAATTCAGCTATTTGACAAGATTATGAACTACAGCAATCAAAGTATTGGTGAGTTCAATCTCGGCTGAGGCCGCAAGATGATGATGATGCGTAGTATTAGAAAACAATCTAGCCCCGTTGACTAAATAAAGGATTCGGATCGTAATTCTAACAAATATCATCTGAAGAAGGCCGGAGCGTACAACGGGCGAAACGTCGTGAATATGTCAACGGAGATGAGGACATCATTCCAACGGATGTAAACAGTGTAAATAATTACAATGACTCATCTCAGAAATATAGACAGATCCTGAAGTAGGCTGGAGCGTGTAACAACCGAAACGTCGTGAATGTGACAATAAACATTAGGACAAATGTCAGTACCATGTAAATAGTGTAAATTGTTAAAATACCTCATTTCAGAAACATAGACAGATCCTGAAGTAAGTCGGGTCGTACAACGACCGAATATGGCAATAAAGATGAGGACAAATGTCTGGACGATGTAAATAGTGTAAATAATAATAATAATAATAATAATAATAATAAGAAGAAGAAGAAGAAGAAGAAGAAGAAGAAGAATAAGAAGAAGAAGAAGAAGAAGATGATTGCCGGGAGAAATTAAATCTCAAAGGACATTGGAGAACTGTGTTTAAAAACGGTAAAATTGACCTTTCTATCCGAATGCTTCTCTGTGGCCCAATCGGTTACGGCACGTCAGGCTATATGGCGGTTCCGTATAGGATACAGGTTCGATTCCTGTCGGAGGATGCATATTTTTTATAAAAATTTCTCAGACATTCAGGCTGGTAAATGTCATTAATACTGTTTATTATAAACAGACCATTTACTTAAATATTTTATCTATAAAAAGAACGTATAAACATAAAAATGTCTATATATCTGTGTGTGTGTGTGTGTGTGTGTTTATGTACGTATGTGTGCACATTTCATTAATATAATTAAAATCTCATGTATGACACTGGTACAAAAATATGCACGCATTATTAGATAAACATACATTTAACTCACGGGGCGTATCATAAATTCCTTAGTGACTGATACACATGGCTGATTCACTACGAGTTTATACGTGTACTCCAGTACACACAAACTTCCTCTCTCTCACACTCCCCCACACACAAACAAACACATACACACACGTCTATGCTATTATTATGATTAAGGCATGAGCTGAGCAAACATGCATTTAGGAAATATGCCACCTGCAGTGTTCTACACATGCGTGATCCAGACCTCACCCAAATAACATCCAATGAAATGGCAAGAAGTTACTTGTTCGGATTTAGTAAGCAGTTGAGATGAGACTGTCAACCATTAAATATCAAAAATGTACGTGTATCAAAAGCTGTAACTAGCAGAGCATGATAATGTAGCGAAAGAGCGTAAAAGATCGGAAGTGCAAAGGAAAGAAAGAAAGGAAAGAGTAAGAAAAGAGAGAATAAAGAGAGTGGAAAATGAAAGAAACAAACAAAAAGAAAATATATAAGAAAGAAAAGAAATAAGAAAGAAAATAGAA